CGGCTTGCAAAACCCTTGCAGATTCGAGACGTTTTCAAATTGCCCCCACTATGAGAGTATAAACAGTGCACATAGATATCAAATTCCAGTTTTTAGCACCACTTAACTTCAACACTCACCCTGCGAAAGTAGAGAAAGTTTCTCATGCGTCCAGGTTCCAGGTTTACAGTTTGGCACCCATCAGAAGGCAACGATGCACAACTAACTATGACAGTAAACTTCTTGCACCTGTATCCTGGAATCGCTTTAGCAGAATGCATACTTCCCTCGCCACATGCAGCGCACAGAAGTCAGTCAAGCATGCCATCTCCTATGTTCTTTTCCAATCAGTATCAACTGTACAGTATTGGTTCGGATGACAACTTACCGACTCGACCATCCTCCGCTTGTCTTCTGTGTCCAGGCTGGGTAGGGGCACTGTGTCGGAGCTCAGAGCCGCGTCAGGATCTAGCGTGACATGCGTCAACACTGACTGATCAACCAGGATGGAGATATGGAAGTTCTCCTCACTGAAACCAGGACAGCAAAGGACATGATCGGAAAGTTTGGTTGCACACGGTTGCAATGATGTCACGCTGACAGAGGCAAACATGGAACATAGGGACGTAGGGAGGTATTCCAGGGTGGTTCTTTCAGCCCTTAGTGTAGTACCACTGCGGGGCCCTTCCCTAGTAAAGACAATTTGCAATTAAAAAGCCAAACATCACTGCATTTCATTAAGTGGGTAACCGGGGTAAGAAGAACTGAGGCCAATGCCTCAGAGCCCTTAGTGACCATAGGATGTCTGACATTCCTGCATTATACGCAGTATCTGTTGAACCATAGACTTGGACAGTATAGGTAGTACCTTCCCCTCCTCACGATTCTTTTAGGAATGAGCTAATATGTGTGAGGCCAGAGTAATGAGTCAAACTATGGCAATGACACGAAACACTGCTGGAGAATGAGAAGGTGATGTGGCCGCATACATGTTTCTTGTGAAGCCGCAGTGAACCAAGTTCAGAAGGGATGGTTTCTTGGATCTTGGATGAGACACGGGAGCTGGAAATTTGATGCTACAGATTTTTTAAGTGGAATATGATACCTCTCATAGTAGGCTCATACACATGATGAGAATCACACACCTCCCCCTCAGTCTTAGAAGCATGCATGTACTCATGTGCTGTGCCAACCTTGGCTTGGGGAACATTGCCATGATGAAACTTTTTTCTCTCTGAAAATTCGACTTTGAGAGCCAAGCTAAGAATGCACGGATGGAATATCATGTTGATATGACTCTACTGGCTCGGTAGACTTACGGCAGAATGATTGGCACCTCGAATGTACAACACGGCCGCACATCGCAGAGGCGTATTCTCCAGACTGAGTTTAAAGAGCACCGGTGAATACTGTGTGGAGCGCTGCTTCTCAAAGTAATATCAAACCTATGCTTCTCACCAGCTCTGAGGAACTGCGATGGCGGCGGGAAGCGAGTGAAGTGCAGTTTACGACTGCTTTCGTCGAGAAGAACACCACTGAGGCCAGCGGTAAGAATCAGCAAGGCTCTTCCATTTTTAAAGCCGCGTTTCAATGTCAGCCCAACAAGAACGTCTTGCACGGCACAGAACATGAACAAGAAGAATAGCAACACACCCAGGTTATTCACTGCCGCTGAGCAGCTGGTGTGGTATTTCAATGGCAGGGCAGGTACATGAGAGCAGCGGAGACAGCACAGCCATAGCCCCGGAGCACCTCTACACACCTCTACACATAGTGAGGTAGATGGCTGAAGGACATTAGCCGACATCTGGGGTTTGACCATTGCACATACACATACAGTGTTTCCCCGAAAGTAAGTTGCAACTTTTTACACTAAACTTCAAGAGCAAAGAAGGGAGTGTGACTTGCAATCGCCCTACTTATGTGACTGTATTGATACAATTTGGCTATTAATTTAAAGACCTGAAAGTGGACTGCGACTTATAATCGGGGAAATACGGTATGTTTTCAATTGTGGAGAATAGTATCTTAAACAAGCGTTTCGGAGACAGCAGTTTTATTATAGCTACAAGGAGGACTAATGGCTCTGTAAGCATTTCCTATATGTCGACATGTATGTGTCAATGCTATACAATGATCGGCACACAACGAAAGGGAAAGAGAGGATTTGTTCAGAACTGTTTTCTAGTTACATTCATCAGTGAGTCTACGTAACAATGGAACTACTTGAAACTAATAGTATATGGCCAAATAAAAGTGAATGAAGGGGAAAAAGAGCGAAACAAAAAGGTGATTATACTAAAACCTTTTCCCATTCTTTCAATTTTATTTGGCCATATACTGTTAGTTTCAAGTAGTCCCCATTCCATTGTTACGCAGACTCACTGATGAATGTAACAAGAAAACAGTTCTGAAAAAATCCTCTCTTTCCCTTTCGTTGTGTGCCTTGCGATCATCGTATAACATTTACACATACATGTCGACATATAGGAAATGCTTACAGAGCCATTAGTTCTCCTTGTAGCTATAATAGGATCTTTAAATACCGTTTCAGACGGCGCCACGCCCAACGGCAACGGCGAGTGAGAAATCCATCTGCACCACATACCACTGATATCAGATTTAGTATGGGCGGCTTGTGTAGCGTTGGCACGCTAGTAACTTACACAGCTGCAGCGTGAATCACTTTCAATGTATTGGTCACGCGTGTTACACCCGGCCCGTACCCCGCACTTGCAACTCTGTACCGTGCTTGCAGATCCATGACATGCATAGTAACTAGTCTCACTGCGTTCAATGTTCATTCTTTCATATTGACCTTAGAAATACTAGTCTAGACCTTTTGCTGTCTTTCAACCGCCTTTCTTTTACGCCCATTGCCCACATCGCATTCAGCTCCTTCTTCTGCATAGAACCAAATAGCATTCCTTGTGCAATGACACTTTCTTCTGCCCGCACATCTACTTTGACCTTTCTTCTTCTCTCTGCTGAGCTTCGCCGTGACCATTGCTGTTGCAGCACTTATGCTGTCTGCCTATAAACGCTGCTGTTCACAATTCTCTACAGTTCAGTTAGAGATGCCAGTTAGAAAGTTCAGTTAGAAACTTCAGTTAGAGACGCCAGTTAGAGTTAGAGTCAGAGGTAATGTTTACAATGTAGTCTTCCGTTTAGTTCAGTAATAATTAACAGTGTGTTCACTGAGACCCGTGCGCATTTGCCTCCGAGAGAAAGAGACTGCGGCCAGCTACATAATTGGTGCCAGCGGTGGGATACGCTACACTTGCACCGGAACAGTGCACACTGAGCACTACCAACACATTCTGTTCTGGTTTCAATAGCTGTTCTTCTAGAGGAGAGTGCAAGCGAATTGTTCTGATATGGAGAAAATTGATTACATACACTCAAGTACAAGAGTACTGTAGTGTAGGATAAGTAGTCTCCATGACATGAGCTTGGTTACTGATTGATTGCTACACATGTACGCAGAGCATTATGGTCTGTACCAGGGAGTACTAAAATACCGGTTATTCAGTACTCCCTGGTCTGTATTTCAAGTACTTTTAATATTTGACTGCAGCTTACCATGTCAGCAGGTGAAAGTTGGATGGACAATCTCACTTTTCCTGTCACACATGTTTTTCAATTGACAAAAAAGGTCTCCATCAGGAATAGAATATTTGCGATTAACTTTGAATACTTTTGCAGAGAAGTTTGTACTTCACACAAAGTAACACCCTACAGCACTGGTCCACGGAACAAAAGAACTCTTGAGTCTTGTTTGCTTAGGCACTAAACATAATACAATACATGTAATCTTTTCCTTACACGCACACACGCATACACAGACACTGACACTGACACACACACACACACACACACACACACACACACACACACACACACACACACACACACACACAAACACACACACACACACACACGTACACTCCACAAACAGACGCATACACATGGTCTAGCTCATTCCAGATTTACGGTAAAGTCAGTAACGGTAACCTATTATCTTACGATCCTCATCTTCACTCGGCGGAGCATGGTTCGTCCGTTCTTCATGCCGCTGTGTATCAACACTGTCCTGTGGCTCCTCACACGCATGGGCCATTGCTTTCTGATTCCTTTCCTTGACGTACACGTTTCCTGGAGAATATTCAAGTCAAACAATCGTCAAACGTCGAAGACAAGGTGTCTCTGGATTCGTATTCGGCCTTGAACTTCGATTTTCAAACGGAGCGTCGCTACTGGCACAGGTGTAACATGCATCCGACAACACCGCTACATTTCTTCTTGTGTAAAAATAATGTGTGCTGGACAATACAACTTTTACCTGGCGCAGTGAAATCCTTGAATCTCCGGCTTTCAAAGTACAGTTTCTATGTATGAATCATGTGAATTGAGCGGGCGTTACACGAAAACGGTTTCTCAGTGTCTCTAGCTCTATGCACGCACAAGACTTACGTCATTGCAGTGTAAACATGTTTACAAAGCAACTACGTGGAGAATTACACGTAGGAGTTTGTGGTGGTCTAATATGGTGCATATCGCAAGGACTTCAAGTCTTGGGTGGTTTCCCCTAAACAGCATGACCTGAGCAGGGCGATGCAGAATGCCGCAAGTTGTCAAGAGAGCACGTCAGATTTACCGCGAAGGTTTCGGAGGAGTGACAGGGCACGCGGATTTGTCGTGCATACTTGACAAAATACACAGCTCTAGCATGCACCGACCCGGCATGAGGGACTTACAAGCCAGAGCTACTGTCTGTTGGAATTCCCAGATCTTTGACAGTTCGTATCGTGAGAAGTGTATACAGTGTCATGTAGATTTGGCTCCAGAACGTGTCCACTACGCTATACAATGCGACAATGTCAGCACAGCCCTGATAGCGTGTAGCCTGGAGGTGCTACCTCCTGGAAGGGTAAGTACTACTAGTATGCAGTCCTGGCGCACTGCCAACGCTTGTCAGGGATAGCTCGTACATGTACCTAACCGTAACGTTTCTTGGTTTCTTGTCTTATAGTTAGGCCTCCTTCTAACATATCAGAGATAGAGTCCTTGGCTTGGGTTGGCCACAAGGACTTCTTCACATCAGGGTAAGTTGGTGATTGTAGTGTTCGTCCTCACATTCCCAGAGAATAATGCTTTGAAAACCCATACCCCATACGTAACGTCGTTCTTGGTGTCCTGCTATGCTGTAATATTGTTTGCTCCACGCTCGTATATTATCATCATGATTGTGATCACGGGATGATGCCGTCGTTCCCTACAAATACCAGACGTTAACGTTTGGCCTTGCGTGACCAGTAACATGTAGAGGTTAGCTGCACCATCGCGGCTGATCAATCTCCTCATCAACGTAACTTGGAAGAGAAACCATTGCGCCAAGTTTGAAAAACCGCGGAGAGACGAGCGCTCTTTCCAGATCATTTCCCTCACTCTCTCAAAGAACTGCCTACAACAGATCCAGCCAGTGGTTAATGTACGCTAAGGTATCGTTTGTCCTGTCTGTTGGTTGTCGCTACGATGCAGGAAGTAGTGAATATGGCCTCCACCGGGGAGGGATCGGAACATTTCCCTCACTCTCTCAAAGAACTGCCTACAACAGGTCCAGCCAGTGGTTAATGTACGCTAAGGTATTGTTTGTCCTGTCTGTTGGTTGTCGCTACGATGCAGGAAGGAGTGAATATGGCCTCCACCGGGGAGGGATCGTAACATTTCCCTCACTCTCTCAAAGAACTGCCTACAACAGGTCCAGCCAGTGGTTAATGTACGCTAAGGTATTGTTTGTCCTGTCTGTTGGTTGTCGCTACGATGCAGGAAGGAGTGAAGATGGCCTTCACCGGGGAGGGATCGGAGCACGGCACTAGTAAGTCATACACGTAGGTAGTCTACTACTAGTGTATATCGACCGTAATGAAAACAATGACTGCACGTAACTGTCATTACCAGTACAGTGTACATCAGTGCCTTCGTGGCAATACAGGGGAACATACTCGAAGAGGTGTATCTGAACCGCGGCTATCTCACCTCGCAGTTAAGTCTGGAAAGTGGGACAGCCACGGTGAAAACAGCCAAGCAGAACAGGCAGAATACTGCACCTGCGAACTACGCGGTTGAAAACTTGACCCACGTCTCCTCCTCGAGACCCTGATGGTGGCTGAACTACTCCATTGCATATTCAGCTAGGGGAGAAGCGGTAAAGCGAATCATATTTCTGCAAGCAAGAATGATCTTTACCCACCTGGGCATTTCAACATTCAAGCAATTTGCGCACAGGCGGTTTGGTCGCATTGTGGGTCAGAAACCGCGGGAAGGAGTAACTATAATATGTACTCCATGCCCACAAAATACAAGCGCACCGCTGGCAGACGTGGCTATCGCCAACGACCTCAACTACCCAAACTCTACGAAAATCGACCAAGCACCCAACTGCGTCCTTTCAGCGCCAGACTTTCGCTTATAACGATATGAAGTCGGGATATGTCGACATCAAGTCCGTCGCTAATACTAGTACAAATTACAATGTATAGTCTAGTTCTGTGATTTTGTGATACTTGGCGGGATTCTCTCTAACGGACACATCCTAGGGACAGCTTTCTCGAGCCCCTCGCGCCATATCCGATATGCCATACATGTATGTATGCGGCCTCTAAGCAGGCATGCAGCTTGCTCGTGACATGCCAGTGTGCCATCGTTTGTGATGGAACTGCGCTTACCGCAAGTTGACAGATAAGGGATTATTCAGGTTCCAGCCTGTCATGAAGGAATGGAAAGTAGTCAGCGGCGCCAACAACAGTGTCCAGCTTGGTGCGTCACTGGGGGAGTTGGGGAGAAAACGTGCAGACAAAGAAACGTGTTCATGACAAGTTTGTTCCTGGTCATGTTGTTGTTGTTGACACCGAAGCCAAGGAGGACGGACGTGCACAGCACAGCACGATTCGTGTACTAGCCATTTGTTTTAAATTTACAAAGTTAGTTTCGTACTTCGAAGTACATGTATGATGCAAGGAGGCGCAGCTTCATACAGGAAGATGTATGTAGAAGATAATTGTACCGGGCACACTTATTCTCAACCTTCTCTTGTCTTTATCGCACTAAATCACCCCCTTCTTTTAGGCTATGGTGCGCAAGCCCACGTTAACGCCTTCCATGTAATTGGGCTTGTAGCCCGTGTGTACTTGCGAATTCAAATAAAAATATACATACATACATGTACATACAACGCCGAGACCATAGGTCGGTGTCGTGGGCTTGCCTCACCAGCACAGGCTTGCTTTGCAGCCCCTACTCTCCCTGCTGTTTTGTTATTGTATACTCTGTTGTCTTCTCCCCTTCTGACGAGTAGGTTGTGTACTTAGTAAAAAATAAGTAAGAAATGAAAAACACATTGCAACTCGGAGCCGATTCCATCTTCCGATATCGATTTGACAATTGCTCTGGGAGGGTCTGACATCACCATCAATAATACAATTGATGCCGACATAATACCATGATTATAATTAAGGGGGCAGACTACCCAAAAATTCGCTGAAAAATCGAATTTGTAAATTCATATTGAGTGCTACGTCAGTTGAAAGAGCATGAATAGCTGCAAATTTTCTGAAAATTGTGTCCCGATCTGACCGGCCGTTCAAGAGTTATGGCCGAAAATGTGCCCTTGCAAGGAGAGATTTTTTTGTTGCACGCTGTCATTTGTTGGCAGCACTGTATTTGAATGTGAGCAGACCGTGCGCAACTTGTCGTATCATGGAAACACGTGAAAGTGTGCAGAATTTTGCTCCAAAGTCCAAAAAATCAGGTTTTTGAGCCACGTATTGGGCTGCACGGCGGCGGGCGAAGAAGCCCGCCGCCGTGCAGCAGGACTTTTGCCAGCACCCTCTACTCGTGACGTTGCAGATATGTGGCTTGATTATTGTAGTTGACATTGATTTAGTGACTTTGGCAAGTTTGAGTCGTGTCAAGAAGTCAGGTAGGATTCAGTACTAGGCAGTAGTGAAACGTGAGTGGTAGTCTTTGCCGGTTTCTGAGGGTATCCTGGATTTGGTGTGCAGCGCTGTGGAAATGGCTTGCTGTGGAGGTCCCAGCACTGGATGTTGTATCAAAGGTACGACCTCGTAGCACACCCTTAACCTAAAAAAATTCAAAAATTGACTTGGGTCTGTGGGAGTGTGTGAGAGAACGCCAACTCGTTCCGTTGTGACAGATTCCAGGGCCTCGTTGAGGGGCCCTACCCCATCACCCATGGCTGCTTCTGGACTTGTTCTAGGTTTGAGTCCCGCGCACGAACAGAATGAGCACGAAAATGTGAAAAAATTGTAAATGCATTTGTTTGGCTCCTGGGTGGCTCGCACACCGTGGCACTATGCCGGAAATTTGAGTTTTTCCGGCCTGGAAAGCCTGTCAGTGAGGCGCAAGAACTTGTAAATCATGTCCTGAGGGCCAGCATAGTGGCAGGAGTGTGTGGTCAAAATTTCACTCAAATCCATTGAGAATCACCAAAGTTACGGTCAATTGAATGCCATATGAAATTTATGGGTAGGCTGCTCCCTTAATAAGATGAGCTGCATCAACATGTGTATACTGAGTACCGTGTGTTATTCGTCCAGTGTCAAACGATGGAAACAATGTGCAGTAAAATGGTAGAAGAAGGAAAAAAGATAATTATAGTGATGAAGACAATAATAATTAATATGATTCTAACAAGTTTTCGTACAACACTCTTCAGGAATCGTCGTTGTACTAAATTAAAGGACATTGACACAGTTGAATTATTAAAGAAAACGAAAGCAAGAGAATAATAACACCGAATCTCCAGCGGTCGTCACACCCGAAAATCCCAAACTGTGGGTGGGCTTGGAAGTGATCCCATTTACATGTATGGGCTCACCCGAAGCTGCCGTATGTGGGCGAGGACGAGGTGCAGAAAAATAATGATAGCATCAAGGTATCCGCCCGGGAATCCAACTACATTTCGCCCTCCCCGTTTGAAGGTGATAATTCAAACTAGCATGGGTTGCTAAATTTAGGGTGCCAATCTGATATAAGCTACCACCATTGATTACATACGGTTTCCACCTTTCACATGCATTGTGTTTGTGGATCTGTATGATTCTTTACACATTTTGCTTCTAGCGCTCGTTGCCGTTGGTATCCTGGAATCGGGAGTTGGTACCGAAGACTTTCGGAGAGATCCACCGTGTTTACAAATATCGCATTCAACTAGGCACCCTAGCTTTGAAGCCTTTCCCAAATACCAACAACGATTTATAGAACAAGCCGGAACCGACCATGATGATCAGCCTTCTGGGGGTCAAAGGACCTTAGCTATGCTATCTCCACCGTCTAACCAAGCATTTAAGGTAGGCAATCTTATTAATTAACCCGCAGCCAAGGCCATCGTCGGGGTAAACGTGTTACTGCATTGAGCTAACTTCTTCAAGATATTATATAATACGGCAGCTGTTGCCTGATGATTGCGTGAGCATGAAACTTAAAGTAGCAGCAAACAAGCCTTGATTGTCCTTGTTGTTCTGTTGTGTAATACGGCATGCAATATAAAATATGAGTATACGAGCATGGCACATGTCAGAACCGACTTCGGCAACTGTTACTACTGTTGATCAAAGAAGACTATTATTGATTGTAATATGCACGTTTTTCGAAGGCGCGTTTTTCCAAGGTTCTACTGGCACTGGGCATGCACTGTAAGCGGCTGTATGACTGTGTAGATAATAATAATAATAATAATAAACACAGCTCTCATCTTCCCTGAACCTGTTAGACAGGAGCAGAGTCGACGCATCTGTCAACAGTGTCAAGCCAAGTTAGTCTATCTCCTGCAGCTTGGAGAGCGCTCTCCACGGAGAGATCCGCTGCCTTCAGGTCGTGCCGAATCGTATCTATCCACCGCAATGGCGGACGGCCACGGGTTTTTTTTATGTCGTTTGTGATACTCTGTTTTATTCAACTGAATCTGATGCAAGTAGGTGGCTGGATGGTTGCTTTTGAAACAGCACAACCCTTGAAAACTCAGCATCCAAACTCCAAAATACTGCACGTTTTGAAGTACATGTACAGTCAACTTCGCCAATAACGACTGCGGATATAACGACAATTTGCGAATAACGACCGAATTTCCATGCCCAGAGCAAAGTCCCATCTAACTGTACACATTCAACTTCGGATATAACGACTATCTGAATAACGACAATTCGCGAATAGCGACATGCTTTTAGTGCCCCGAGGTCATATTCACTGCTTGAATAACGACTTTCTGGGCTTTTGACAGCTATTTTCAAGTACATGTCAGTCAAGTACGTGCACAGGTACAGAACCTATAATTATGGTGATGGATAAAGAAAAGAAAATGCAGCCAAGGGGGGGGGGGGGCTTTCTCTTCCTTTTTTATTTTGCTTCAAAAGTGTTGGATTTACCAGCACACCTACATGCCATTATAGTCATTGTTAGATTGACAGCATGAAACAAGGTGGAGGACACTGTGTTCGAAAACAGTTACCTTACTACAGTACAACCTTCCGCGGTTGGCACTTGGCAGAGCCCCGGTCCCTGCGGACCATTTGAACCATATGGGTACCGCAGGGACCGGGCTCTGCCAACCGCGGAAGGTTGTAGTAAGGTCACTGTTTTCGAACACAGAGTGTCCTCCACCTTGTTTCATGCTGTCAATCTAACAATTGCGTGAACTACAACAAGGTTTATCTAATGCTGGTTTACCAGTGTTGGATTCTATCATGCATTTACATGTAGTTGTACTAGTACATGATTGTACAGTAATCATCATACATGTACATGTACATGTACATCATTGTCCCTAGGCCCTGGCCCTGTAGATCATGGTAGATGGCTCAAAAAGGCATATTTTTCAATTTATTTCCCTTGCATAATATGAATTTTTAGTTCCTTTCAACTACAATATGAAAATAAAGTACACATTGACATAGAGCAAGAAAAGAGCTTGATTTTGATATGCGTGTCATACTACACAAAATATGGGTTCACATACATTCAAATGGGACTTCGGTTATAAGGACACTTCGCGAATAAGGACACCTTTCTGATGCCCCACCGAATGTCGTTATTCGCGAAGTTGACTGTAGTAAGTTATTGCGCGCACAATCACTCCCTGTGCCTTCTATATTTTGCATCGTGTGTGTGTGTGTGTGTGTGTGTGTGTGTGTGTGTGTGTGTGTGTGTGTGTGTGTGTGTTGCAGAACAAGCAGCCAACACTGGGACTCATCCACGTTCAAATCTTCGTGTCTGCATTTGGACACGATGGCCGTGCCTTGTGCACAATTGCAATAGGGTACGGCGTCAAGCCCACGCTGCGTACTTCAATAGTAAACAAAAAAGAAGTACAGATGCATGGGATCTTCCGAAATGAGCTGACCATCAACACACCGGACGTAAATAGGGTAGGTGACAGTAACACTGGAAATGTCATGTGTACACTTTACTGTGAAAAGAAGAAGAATGTAATTGGCTCACCATCCGAGTTACATTTTGTAAACTTTACTGTTGTACTTGTAGTGCCTGTTTGAGCACGCTGTTTCAAGCGGCTTGCCATCGTAATATTTTTTTCCAAATTTCGGCCAGTCGTCTACTAATACCATGCTATCATTTCGTCTCGGGGGTTAGGCAAGGGGAAGTAGCCATGTAGGGGCGTGAACCCGCCTTTCGGCACCGGGAGTTGCAGCTCGCTCGACTCAACTCTACTGAGTGAACAGGACCTACAGTACATGGGAGCCCACCGCGTAATAATGCTAAAGACCCTACTCGTGCATTTCATGTTTCGAAACCCATTCAAGAACTTGATGCTTTCTATTCCACATGTGCTTAGGACATTCTGATGAAGATTTATGCAGAGGACGTATCATACTCGTCCGAAAGACCGGAAGGAATATACTATGTTTCCGACTGGGATAAAGCCGTTTTTAGTGACGAAAACCCAATCAAGCTGAGAATCAGTGACGGATGCATGGAGACACGATCAGCTGTAATCCACTCCAGAAATCGTAAGTACATTATCAATTTTGAAGCTATGGAAAGAATGAGCTGTAGAATTTACCATCAAAACAAGGTCCACTTTTTGCGCATGAATAGCTGAACCGTTTTTTCCTGACTGTCATAGTTCCGGTTGCTATGCAAGAATAGTATTTTGTGTTGAGGACACAAATCACAACCATAAGGGTTAAAAGGGGCCAAAGGCCCAAAGGAAATTATCGGGGAGAAGTGTGATCGTGGTAGAACTATTCTCATGCGTGCACAAGCCAGGCTTGCATTTTGGATGTGGCCTCAACTGGGAAACTGATTACGAATACTTCTAGAAGACAATCATCGTACATGTACACTGGCAACGTGAGGCATGAGCACTGACTGCTTCTTTTCTTTTCTCCATGACCTTCCAACCCTGTCACTCACCCTCATTGTTATCACTGCCAGCATCCTTTTCACTCTCCTCTTGCTCAACGTCGCCGATCAGAATTTATTGTACGTAGCTCCTTACTGTGCATTGGGCTGTTCACCACCGGACCAATTTTCTGCCTTACAATCTGATGTGAAAATGTCAGAGAAAGGGCATAATCCTCTGCAAAAATTCAGCATGCATTCATGTGACATAATCATATTCACATCAAACAGCCTACACTATCTGATCAGGTGATGCCGGGCTTGCAGAAGTTTAAAAAAGTATTTTGAATGTATGAGATATTGACTGTGAAATTTACCAGAGTTTCCAATTTTGTGTCCTTTTCCTTCTTGCATTCCGCAGGAAAAATCGAAAGTCTTTCTCTTGGTGTGTCATACTCCAATGGAGATGATGTTGAGGATATTGCAGAATTTTCATTTCTTGAGGAGTAAGTCAATTTTGCCACGAAAGTGTTTATTCAGTTCACGTCCTCCTACCTTCAAATAATTCCACATCTCAGCAGTAAATCTGTACATTAGTTCCATCCATTGAACAGCAACCTAGTCAATACTCCTGTGATCCATTCTATACTTCAAACTTTGAAAGTAAGGAAACGATTACCTAATGCACGTACACATCGGTGAAATTCATTCACTTTTCTTGATCTTCGACCACAAAATGATCAATTTATGCAAAAATCCCCTCAGTGGGCATCTGGGAAGAAGCAGATACCTTTCTCACCTCATAATAACCTCATTCTAAAATGGCTAATAGTACATGTACATGGCAGTTCTAACAAACAAAAAACGTTGAAGGTTGTGCTTGAAACAATCTCAGAAAACAGATTCGGGAAATATGTCCGTGAGCTGACGAGGTGGAGGCAGTATCAGTTCCTTACCCTTTGCAGGACTGTTCAGAGTAAACACTAAATGTCTGTGGGTGGTAGCCAGTAGGTTGTGGAAGACTGCTGGAACAGATGGAATCCCCAGCATCCTTGATCCCGAGACCATTGGTCGGGGGTGCGCACTTCACCTCACCGGCACAGCTCAATAGCACCTACACGCCCTTTGTAGTCTATGTTCTCTTGATGTTGTTGTTTTTATCTTCCATTCTATGATCTATGTAGGCATATGTGCACTTTCACAAAAAAAATTAAAAAATTAAAAAATTCTGTAACATGAAGGGCCAGTCACCATTATCAACCATATTGAAAGCCGTGCATGCGCAGATCCAAAAAAGTAGTTCTTTTCTGATCACGTAAGGCATCATCCCTCTCAAGCCCTATCAGGTACACTAGCTCTCATCCAGGGAGTTGCATAAATCCGTATTCCTCCCTGTTCTAATCTGAGACTCGTAGGCATTTTTATGTTGATATTATTATTCTTGTGTTCGCATAACTCTGCTTGACTGCAGGAACGAATTAAATTTTGGACTGGAGGACTGAGCATGGGCACAGGCACGCCGCCGAGAACGCTGGATGATGGAACAACTAGAGTAATCTGCTAGCAGTTAATGCTCAGTTATATTCTCTGAGCACACATTTTTATGTTCTATAGATTTTCTCGTTTGCAAAATATTTCCCACAAACTAATGAATGCATTGTAGATTCTCTATGCAGTTAAGTACGATGCTAACATGCCAGCCATGATCTATCACTGGCTGCTTTGTTGATAAAACATGAACATTTACTCATGTCAGGGCAGATCAGTTTGTCCATGTATGGTCTATGACAGTTTATAGAATTCCTTAATTGAATATTTCTGTCCATTTTAATTTAAATCCTTTCCATGCGTATTGTTGCGAGCAAGAATCCTTTTGTTGAGCATTGTGTGGCGGTATTGACCGCAGAGTGGTAACTGGATTGTGGTTTAGGTTTTAATTGTCGTCTGAGGCCTAGCCGAACAGCCAAGCAACCCTGAGCAACAACAAAAATGGCCTTGTGCCCATGATTGCAAACGTGTACCTGTAAAAAACAGTGAAGTTCGCACATCCACGTTACGACAGGCTTACGATTGTGTTGAGAAACACAACCAGCTTAGAGAAGTGTCGCTCGTGCCAGGACACCACCATGCCTGATTATACCAGGGTGGCAGATGCACCATCATAAACGGCGACGGTGAGGTGTGCCATTGCAAATCTTAGAATTACAGAAACATGTACAGTTACATGTACATAGAATTTCCAGAAGCAGAAGCCAGGGGACGTTGTCCGAATGAAAGTGATTTTTCAACCACTATAAGAATATGTCCACTCTAGCTTGATGTAACTGTATCTTTAGGTTCTTTACTTCCTAGAATTGAAGTAACCAGTACTAACAACTTTATATGAAGAAACACCATTAATGGAGAAGGGAGCGGTTAGCGCGCGGCACAATGAGCACCGCCCTTACTTCACCAAGTCGTGAGACGGGTATGTGCATGATTGTGCTCAAAGGTGTTGCTGCTCGCACACACCATCCGCTGCTTGTTTGACAACTGATTTATGGGCGACAGAACAAAGAAGCCTACAGCTCTTCATGTACATGTACATGTAGATCTACAATGACTGTTCATTACTAGTACAGTAGTATGTACATGCAGTGCACGCATGCGAGTACTACATGTACTTGTAGTATGGTTCGGCCATGCACGATATGCAACAATTTACATGGTCATTGGACATGCAATGGTACATCAAGTAGGCATGCAGGGGAGCGACAGTGTCAGTAGTCAGTGGACAGGCGTTGACAGCAGATCCAGAAACCAAGGGTTACTTATACGTTAGTATCCTACCACAATGATAATGTTCAAATAATTGTAGGGGGGTTCCTGCTCCGAAACCTGCAAGACACGAAGGCCAGCTGGAAGGACTCGACGGTGAAAGTTGAAAGTTACATGCAGCTTGTCGCGACCTTTTGCCCTCCATTTAGATTTTTGGCGGGTAGTTACCTTGGCAGTATAACGAACTTACTTAGGTTCTCTAGTTATATTCCATACATGTAGTCTGCTCGGATCTCGACGGAGACTCTCTTGATTTAGGCTAAGGCCTGTGGAGAATCCACAAATACAAATACAAATCTCCTTCTGGTCATTTGAAAGAAACCACAGGAGAGAGCAGAAATGGATTGTTTCGATTTTTTTAACGCATTGGGAGGTGGCTTCATCGGAGTGTCCATTGGTATGGACTTGTTGGCCATTGATCCTTGTGATTTCGATCTGATCCATGCTGGACAGCCACAGTGCAGTGATGGCTGCAGCTCGGCTCTAGCGTCGTGCGCAGAATTCGACTTCATCGAACAATCGGAATTGAAAAACTTCGGTGCCTCGCAACCACTGGTCGTTTTCAAGATATGCGGAGGCGTTCTGGTCGGCTTGTCCGTTTTTCTGTGTGTACTGCAACTCATTCAACTCTGCCATCGGGGAGAACGATTTCTAAACGTGGTCAGTGTTGGCTATTTAAAAGTGTTCCTTGCCATGCTAGGCTGCAATATCACAGCCCTTGTGTATTTAATCAAAGGAGTTGATGTTGAAATTAACAAGTCCGCGTCCTCCTCGTGCATCTGCACCTGCAAGTACAAGGGAGATTGGCTTCAAATAAGTCTTTTCGTTCTCAACACGCTCCTTGGCACGTGTCGATTTGCCATTCATTACAAGGAGAGGCAGGCACAGAAAAAGAAAACATTGGTCTGAGTGCAGAATTTGTTTTATTCTTTGTCATTTTACGGTTACTGTCTCCTGTACGGTTACAAGTTCACCTTTTCTTTATTTCTTTTTTCCTATTTTGCGCATATTTCATCTCTCCTCTTCCAAGTCCCCCATTTCTGAGTAGCCCTGACCTCATTCGCGTCTTTACCATTGGATCTGTACAATGTGTTCGCTTTTCGGACACTCAAATTAATACAAACAACCAACCAAGACATGTGTGTATATTGCCATAAATACTGCAAGTATTAGAATTCAAGAAGCTAACTGACTAGTCATTCCATGCTATGGCGCAAGCGGCAATGTTCTGAAGCACATTGACATGATATCTTCATCCACACGAGCAGGTGGGGTCTCGTATATCTCTATAATTATAGACTGCTCAGTTGAAGTTTGTTTCTTTTTTACGTTAGCATAGGAACCTAGTGTCCAAACTTGAACGGTGATTTCAAATCCTTTTGCCCTGTTCACTCTTGCTTCTGCTGAGGTCGACTAATTCACCTCTGTGAGTTTCCATGATCGCGTAGCGCTTATATTGATGGTCTTCAAGTTTTTGGTGTTTTCATGATATTGCCCTGCTCAAAGCGATCGTGGCTGTTGAATTTTCTGAAGAGTGATACTGATTCTTCACAAACCACTAGCAACCTCCAGCCTCTTCACGGTCCTGAGTAAGGGAAATTGTCAGTTGCAGTAAAGTCTGCACACCCTTTTTTGGACTTGATAAGAAGAGAGAGAGAGAGAGAGAGAGAGAGAGAGAGAGAGAGAGAGAGAGAGAGAGAGAGAGAGAGAGAGAGAGAGAGAGAGAGAGAGAGAGAGAGAGAGAGAGAGAGAGAGAGAGAGAGAGAGAGAGAGAGAGAGAGAGAGAGAGAGAGAGAGAGAGAGAGAGAGAGAGAGAGAGAGGGGGGGGGGAGAGGGCAGAGGGACATAGAGAGTGAGATACTAGAGAGAAAGAGGAAGGGAGGAAAGGACAGAGAAAGAGAGAGAGAAGCGAAAGTAAGACCTGAACACTGGGTGGTTATTTTGAATTTCCCCTAGCTCAAAACAGCTGATAAGCCATCAGAATCACTTGAAGAACAGATATACATAAGTACAACACGTATTTTTCCCACTGATGATAGGAACAAGAAAATCGATTATGGGTTTTCAATAATATTTTTGTTATAAAATACACAGTAAATACATGTCAAACAAGTAACGTAGTTGCGTGATATCTGCGGCCTTCATCCTATTCATAGCTATATTAAAATTATTATCTCCACGTAGATTATTTGTACAACATTGTGTGCTTTACATTAGTACTGATAAGAATAGTTTTTATCGCACCGAATCTTCGACAATATTGGCCAAGGCGCTTAGTAGTTTGCAAGCCCTAAAATTTAACCTGATTTGAAAAAAATCCACACATAACCTCTGAAATGTTGTGCCGCTTAATTCAAAGAGGCGGTAATGGAAGACCGGTTCTAATTTCCGGTCTGTCCAAAAGTATTTTAAATGACAAATGTGCACTGTCAACAGTGCCTGGTGAGCTTGTTGCAGACATTCATTGTGCCTGCGCTGCCAACCATACAGGTTGCTTTCATGATTGGATCACTAGCAGCTGCTCCTGGGTGTGTGTTTCCTGTTCATTGATTCAGTCCTGTCTGCTGATGATGTCCAGGTGGATCCTATAGCATAGTGAAGAGAATAGGACAAGCACAATGCCCCTAACCAACACAGAACTCAAGGAGGCTGATGCATTAAATTTAACTCTAGTGCACAGCTTGAAGGAGTGATCCAGGGAAGCTAGGAGTAAGAACTCACTGCTGCAGTGGCTCCGTCGGGATATCAATGCTAGCATGGAGCGCAGCACGGAGACAACAATGTTCTTTGCAATGAAAAAATAACACCAATCAATTGAGCAGAGACAACATCACCATATTACATACATGTATAATAATTATAATATGTGAAATACAATAATTGTTTTCTAACGTAATATTGCTGTTTGTAGGCATCAGTCAGGGCACATGACAAGTCGTCGCATTTACATAGAAATGCTTCAGTAAGAGCACACACACGCACGCACACACCTACACACATACGCACTGTTGCAAACCACCAGTTCTCAATTGGGAAAGGCCTTCGCGCTTATGGCATTGTATTCGTCGCAATGTTGTCTTTCGACTCCGCCGTACCGCTGATGTTGCTGCATGGCATACGCTATATGCGCTGTGTGTGTTTTGCTGTATACGCTGTTATGTCCAGTTTTATATGCGTATGTTTTGCATGTACGCTGTTTTTGCATGCTATAAATAGCTGGTGTTATTAGTGTTCATTGTTAATTATTCGATGAAGTGAAATATACTGTGTAAAGGAAAAGAGTTGTCCTCGTGCCGTGTGGTCGTACGATCCTGACAATTTAGAGAATCTTAGAGGGTTCACAACATTTGGCGACCACGCCAGGATAGGAGCGAGCATGGCAGAGCAACTACACAATTTGGAAGCCAGCTTTATCGCCAATGGAGTTCGGTTAGGATTAGAAGGCGAGTTGTTGATGGAACATGTGGAGCAGAGGCTCCAACAGTACGAGGAGCGTGAGGAGCGCAGTGCCAGACGGCGAGAGGAGGCGCTCCGCACCGAGTTTGACAAAACACTAAAGGAGATTAACGAGCGCATCGCCAATGCGTATGAGGGTGATGGTAAAGCCGCGATGGGAGGTACAGAGGAAACTTCCTGTCACAGCGGGGGGCGTCAACCGTTGATGAAAATCCCCTCATATGATGGAACGCAGCCATTGGAGCGTTATCTTGACCTGTTCGAGGACATCTGTTCCAAGAACGAGTTCGAAGAAAGCGAATGGCTGCTGCGACTGCGCATCGCGCTAGCGGGTAGCAAAGCGGAGAGGATATGTATTGGATGCAATAATTACGAGGAAGCAAAGCGAGAGTTGCTTGCCTCGCTCGGAAAGACTCCGGATAAAGCGTGGAAGACATTGCTGACAGGCAAGCAGCGGTCAGATGAGTCGTTCCACCAATACGTTGTCCGTGTTTGCCGAGAGGTAGAGGTGTGGGCCACACTCGCCATGACAGAAGATGGCGAGGTGGACACCAAGTATAGCGCCGATATAGGTAAAATGGCCCCGGTGCTGCAA